GACTTTAATGATTAAATTTATAAAAGTAAAATTATTTAAGCTGTTTTTTCTTAATTCAAAATTTTTCCAAGTCAGATTTAATATTAATTATTTTATATTCACAAAAGCTGATTAAAAGTATTTTTATTATAATTAAATAATTCTCCAATGTAATAAATTTTACACAGAAATTCTTGATAACAATTAAAGATTAGAAGAATATTTTACATAAATTAACATTTATTATTTTCGATTATTTAAATATGATAATGGTAAATTAAAATTATTTAAAATACAGTAAAAAGTTTTAATAACAAATATATAATTTATGCAAATTTAAATTATTTTATGAATAAATAAACTTGCGAATAAGGCGTTAAATCTATTAATAAACAAATAAATTAATGGAAAATGAATTTTTCTACCTCGAGTAGCAATTTTAGAAAGATAAATCTTCCAAAAGAATATAATTTAACTAATGAGAAACTAAAGGTAAATAGGATAAAAGTATTTTCTCTAAAGGAACTTACTTTTGAGAATGACGTAAATGTCGTCTTGCATGCTCTGTATTGTCGAGCGATGATAATGATCGTCAGGAACCGTGTTGTGCTGAAGATAATTTCCACAAGCAAACTGATAGAAATCTGTACAAGGATCCGCCGTATAATCCATCTTTTCTAAGATGGAAGCCGCTAAAATATATTTCGTTTCAATAACGTTAATTTTATCATTTTAAAATATTTTATTTATTTATTTTTCAACAATTATACCTGTTAATACACAATCTTTCGACTTGCAAATATTTGAAACATTTTCTCTTGTTCTTGAATTTCCTGTGGGATTACAAGGAAGTTAAACATTTACGTTCAGATACAAATTGTGTATTAACGTTAACATTTTACCGTTTTACTGGTTTATTATTATTATTATTATTATGTTAATAAAATGTTAAAGGAGAAGGGTGTGTAGCCTATTAAAAATCAAAATGGTCTATATTGTAGTCTTACAATTTGTTTAAATGAATTATTATACATTATTCAGAGTAAAACTTTCAATGTGAATTATTTCTTTTACATCAATTATAGCTCAAAAATTAAAAACAAAAATTAAATTCCTATTTAAAATATTAACATATTTGTTTCAAAAATTTCAAATCTTAATTCTTTTTTATAAAATATTTAAAAATCAAACTCATTAATTTAAGAGTGAACTTCATTAATTCTTAATAGAAGATGCGAATGGAACACTTCGATTAAAACGAATTATTCAAAAAAATTTCGTGTAGCGAAGAAGAAAAAATGAAAAAAATCGGTTTTTTCCCCTTTCTAATAAGAAAAAAACACGCGAAAAGATAACGTCATAAAATGAAAAATTTCAAATAAAGATTCGACTTTACATAATTAATGGATGAATTCAAAATAATAAAAGTCTTTTGCTCCGTATCATTAATCACATTTTAGACAAATAGGTAAAAATACATTAAATGCGTATGTTTACTCGTCAAAGTCAAAAATTTTAAATATATGAATTTTCAAATCTAGAAAAAAGAAAAAAAAAACATCAAATTTCAAACCAATAATTCGTTGGAGTTGAATGATGTTATTGATCTTTTTTCCCCCTTCAGATATTACAAATTGGTGCTTATTTCTTATTTCTCCTCGGGCTATGTACAATTTCATCTTACATACTTTATCTATTTAAGTTTATCTCGTTTGCATAAGAAATTTTCTTATTCTAATATTAAAATATTTATCTTGACAAAGAAAAATACTCGACAAAAATATGTACTTTTTTTTTACATCTATTTTCTCTACGAAAATAAATTTTCTTAATTTAATTTACATCTGTTAATTTTTTCGTTTATTTAATAAATCTTTCTCGTACCGAAGTTTCATTTTTTTTTAAAGTTTTTAATATACAAAATCAAATGATAAACATAAATTTTATAATATGTTAAAGAATAATTACAATAAAATTATTCTTATTATGTTAATAAATTAATTACAGTTATTTGTAATGTTTTTAATTTAAATAAAAAAAACTAATATGTTTTAATTTTATAAACAGAATAAAACAGAACTTTTAAGAGATTTTATACCTTTTCCCTCGCTTTATATTTAATATATAAACTTAAAATTTCAATTAAAAACGTGTAGATTTTTTAATTAAATTTAAATTCGTAAAAAGTCTAAATGATTTGTTTGAAAATTAATTAAATTTCTTTAGTATTAAAACAAACTGTTTACTTTTTTTTATATCAATATCTAAATTTGAATTTTTAAAATATATTCAGAACATCTGCTTTTAAGTTTAAACGAATAAGAAAAATGGCGAACATCCAACTTCGTTCACCTATTATTTTAATTTTTCTTTTTTAATTCTTTGGTAAAACAACTGAAACAGGATACTTTTTAATTGTTAACGTATCGATAATTTTAAACAACCTTAATTAATTACAAGCAACCTGATACTGAAAAGGCAGTTTAACGTAATGAAAAATTATAAAATTAAAAAAAAATCATTTTTTTTAATACGGCGAATGTATATTTATTCGTTTGAAATTAAATATCATTGCTATTTCTTTTTTTCTTTTTATTTTTTAAAATCTTTTCCGATATATTATATTAAGTTACTTTTATAAAAATAAGAGAGAAAACTTTTAAAAATTGATCGAATTTAATTAATGATGCCAAACTTATTTTTGAATTCTTTAAGAATTAACAAAGTTAAAAAAAAAAAAAAATAGTTACATTATACAAAGAACTTGATGAGACGGAATATATTATAAATAATAGTTTATTTTCTTTTAATTTCATTTTTATGTACTTTTTATTTCCTTTCCATAGATTTAGAGTTTCTTTGTTAAAGAATTTAGAAAGAGTTAAGGATAAAAATTTCATGGCAAATGCCTAAAAGATTCGGAAAACTTTTGATAATTCGTGTAAATGGCTAAAAAAAATTACTATTTAGACAGATTACTAATCAATCTTTCATGTTTCACTTCACTTAACTCGGTTTTAAAACGTTGAAAGATTGTACAAGCGAGTTTTTACTAGAAAACTCGACCTATATAACAGACCACTTCTAGCTTTAAGCTCTTTCGTTATGGAATTCGTAATTTTATGTTTCTACAACGTATTTTCTTTAGATTAACATCTTTTCATATTTCAAAAATAAATTCACTAAAAGAATACTTACGTTCGTTTAATAAATTGATTAAAACGAGTGCTGTGCATATTATAAAAAGAAGTAAAGAAACGACAACCAAACTTCTTTCAAATCTTGTTCTTCTAATCCACCAATGACAGTTCCTAAAGAAAATTATTATATTAAAATTAACATATTACTTATAAAACTAGATAATATAATTTTAAAAATAATATTTTATTTATTCTCTACGAGTCACTTATTTATTTTTTATTATAAATACATTAATGAAGGCATTTAAAAATGTCATTAAATTTAGCCAATTAAGTCAATTTTAGATCGAATTTCTGTAATCCTATAACTAGTTTGTATATAATAAATTAAAGTATAAAATTATTTTTTAACTCTAGAGATTATATTATTTTTTTTTCATTTACAAAAGCTTATCTTACGTTGTGTTTTCAATTTATTAAAAAAGAAAATTGCCAAAGGTGTTAATTTCCAGTTAATTTGCTTATACTCACACGCTTAAGAAGTTAATAAACGTTGGAGATTAGTTATAATTTATTAGACATTAAAAAAAATATATTTATTCAAACTGCATTAATAATCGATTAAATAACCTTGAAAGGAAAAGACGAGTGAGAAGTTTTCGAGAATATGCAATTTCCTATAACTTTATGTCTGGCGACTGACGCCGAACACGACGTTTCAAAATGTCCATATTTCTTTAGCGACCTTGCCCTGATTGCACACATCCTGACACGAAAAAATAAAAAGAGAGATTAAATTCTCTCATACAGAAATTACTAACTTAAAGAGGAATTCAGTAAATGGAAGAGTTCTGCTTTGAGTCGTATATTCTAAAATTATATTTATGGATAGAATAAGCAATTAGTAAAAGCAATTACTTCACTAATTTCATCTCTTATATTATTATTGAATTGCCACAGTACAAGAGAAGATAATTCATTGTTTATCCTAAAATTATGGCTTTTTTTTTTACAAATTTCGATTGAATTTCTTTGCTTCTTCAATATAAAAATATAATTTTTAGCATGATTTTTTACATTATCTAAGTGCAATTTTTTTTCTTTACTTTCTGCTGTTAAATTATGATTATTTAACATATAATTTTTATATTTTTAATTTTTTAAATGATTGAAAATATGATTCAATAGTTTTTAAGAGTGAAATTTATAAAAATTATCTACTTTGTAAACCATAAAGGAAATATAAATTATTGATATTCGTTTCTTTTATATAATTAAATGGAAATTGCAAACGTCGTCTAGAGTTGTCAATTATTATAATCGGGAATAATTTATATATTAACTTGATGGATAATTAAAGCGTTTCAGATAAATGGGAGAAATACACCATTACATAAAAAGCATAAAACTTAGTATTTAAAGTAAGCAATTCCAATTTTAAAATAGTTTATACAAAAAATGGAATAAACATTTTGGCATTTAGTGCACTATAATAATCGATATCATTGTCAGTTAGCCAAATTTTTAAATGCAAATTATTGTAATATAAACCTTAGATCTTTGCTTATTTTTTCTTTCGATTGTATAATATTTCGATTTATTTCGATGTTTTAAACACGTGGCCATTCTTGCACTCACCGTATCTGCCGCTGTGTACAGGAAATTGAAAAATCATACTCTAGTCAAGTTATATTTGCTGATAATCCATTTATATATTCTCTGAATAAACATCGTGAGGTGCATAAAACAGATAAGACACGCTCCCCGATAATATCGTTATTACAAGTAAAGTAAATACGCTTCTTATCATTTCCGTCGCTGGAAGGAATGCGTGGCAAATGCCAACGACAGTAATAAATAAAAAAAATACAGAGATTACGGAACATTTTTGGGGCATCAAAATGATAAATTAGCATTTTACCTGTAACGTGTAGAGAGCTGTTCCGTAGCTAGTTTTGCCTCTTCGGGTTTGATGGCGGTAACGCTGTTGGCTTCTGGCCGACTGCTGCCACGAATCATGATTCGGGAATTGTTGTAACGTGGGCGTCACATTTAAATTCGCATCTTACACCGCGTCCTTCCTTCGTTCGGATGAAGAGGCGAGTGTTGAGCGCGTGCTCCGATCACACGTTTCACCTCCTACATCCGTTGCTATAGCAACGTCAGCTTCAGCATCTCATCCTGCACGATCGCAATAACGCCAGCAGCAGCTCTTTCCTTATTCCGAAGTATAACGCTTTATCATTTTGCATTCGCATTCCGCAGATAAAAAAACTCATAATGGCAACTTTCGCCGTTTTTATGTAATGCAAGTTCTTTCGTTGTTTCGGTAATTAAAGCAAACAATCTTTTAAGTTTCGTCACGCGCAGATATTTTTCTTTTCTATATACACAACTTTTTCTAGCGGATTATTTGCTGGAAAATCTTCAATTCGGAATTTTAGAAAAAAAAATAATAATAAAACGAAAGTTGAAGCATTTAATATTTCGCAAAATGTTTATTCAGCTCCGGTATGAAGCGGGTGAAGAGTCAAAATTGCTATCCTAGGGGACAATCAGAGCATTTATTGGATTCTTTCACCGACATCTGCTTCGAAATAAAATCGATTGAAAGACGAAATATTATCACGTGAAACCCAATTCTGCTTTTTACCTTTGTCTATTTTTCTTTTTTTTCGGCTGACAACATTGAGAAATTATTCCTCCATTATCTCGAGAAGCGACTAAATATCAATTGTATTTTTAAAGGCACACTTTACTTAAATGTACTTTCCTAGTAAGAACATGCTTATAAAACGAAAACCAAAAATATTTTTAAAAATTAATACGAAATACTAAATTTATTTTTTAAATTAATTGACAATTATTTTGTCTTTAATATTAAAAAATTAATTATTACTATAATTTTTTTTTCAGTATACATAAAAATATTTTATAACGTAAATAGCACATTTCAAAAAATTAATTTCGTGATTAATAACTGCTTTTATATTTCATCCCACGCTCTATTGAGAACAAAGACTTAGAACCCAAGACATTTATTAAAGCAAAGTCACTTATTTCCTGTAATTAGACAACCTGGTATGGTCGAGAAAATTAAGAGCGGTTATTCTACTTATTAATTACTTTACATTAAAAATATTTTATAAGCCATTGGAAATCACACGTTTTCTTAATACATATTAAAAAAATTTAATGCAATTTTTTTTAATTTTACTAATTTGATAGTCTTATAATGATTGAAAAACTAAAGCATTAAAATTTATAAATTAATTAAAATAATACAAAAATGTTAGAAATTTTAAAAATATACGTTCTTTACATCATTCAAATTAAAATGATTTCGAAAATTTTGAAATATTTAATAAAGAAATGAATCGAAATTGAATTAATTTTGTTAATTTAAATGATTAAATTTGTTTTAAATTTAAAGATTGTTGCAGTGCTTTATTGAAATTTAAATTTGCTACAAGACATGATTTTTATTAAATTTGTTAAGTAAACGACGTAATGATAAAAGTATAGAAGTTGTTTACATTTTACTTTCAAAAAGAAATTAATATTTTTAATTTTATTTTGAAAAATTTATTAAAAATAAGTTATTTACTTTAATTTTTTGGTCATTTACCTTTTAATAAAATATTAATTATGCACAAAATATTTTTACAGAATAAGAATTACATAAAAAAAATAATTAAAAAAAATTGGGAGTATATTAGATATTTTTAAATGGTTTTATGTAATAATTATCTGTATTTTTAATCTACAAACAATTGTAGAATAGATTTTAAGAATGTACACTTATATTTCGCTGTTAATGATTTTATAAAGTATATTTAATAACACAATCAAAATATTAGCAAATATCTATTCTGAATCTTCAAAGAGAATAAATATCACTTATAATATAATTTAGTTAGCAAATTAATTTTATCACTTCGATTGTAATGTTTACAGTATTTTAATAGATTTAAACAAATTTAAAATTTATATAGCCTATAGCACGTTTCCATAGTTGACATAATACCTTATGTTTCACAAAAGAAATCGAAAACAAATAATGGCGATGATTAAGAAATTTTAAAAAATTAAAATTTTATATCGCATTTTTAAATTGTTCAATAAAATGAAAAAAATGAAATAAAATGATTAAGTTTTTCAACTTTTTCACTTACATTTTCCTCTCATTTTGTTATCTCTACACGTATCTATGTTTTCCTGCCATTCCTTTTTCATTTTATTCTCAAATTTCACACTCTTGCGATATTTTCAATGATAATTCTTACTTAAAAGTTTACACTTGTATTTCGTTATGTTTTAATCTATACGTTTACTATTTTCTCGTTCGTTTTGACATAAATTTTAATATTTTGAACCTCGCGAATTTAAATATTTCTGCATTCCACGATATATTTAAATAATCGATTTTATTATTAATAAATAAATTTATACATTTAAAGTGAATTTTGCGTTGAATCAACAAAGCATCATCTACAGAATTAATTAGAAATAACGAAAACATTATTGACGGTAAGGAATCTATCTATCTGTCTTCCTGATTAAACTAATTGTAGTTGAAGTTGAAAGTGCAATTTGTATTCAATTTTAGTATCAAATTACAATACAATAATTTTCTGAAATAATCCCGCGAAATAAAATGTGGTTAATTCAAACTGAGTTATCAAATTACAGAGTTTATAAAAAAAAATGTTTTAATATTTTCTGAACTTAAATTTTACACAATTTAATTATACAAAAAGCGTAATAATAAAACTACAGAAGTTATTTACAGATTATCTTAAAAAATAAATTAATATTTTCTATTTTATCTTGAAAAACTTATTAAAAATAAGTTATTTACTTTAATTTTTTTGTAATTTACCAGTTATTGGAACCGCATCACAGTTTTCACTTTTGGGGCTACATTCAACATTGTTTATTTATTCAACATTCAAATGTTTATCCCATTAAGTAATCTGAATAAATGAACGATTAGATTGCATGTTGTAAAATACTCTGGTATAATTTAAGTTCAAATAATAATAATTCAGAACAGATAAACAAAAATTTAGATCATTTTTAGTGCTCTTCGATTTACAAAAAAATAACTTTCACATTCGATAACCTAAAAAAAATTATTTAAATTAAACATTTCTGAATATTTCTGACTTTCTAGTAGAATTTACCACTAGATTTAATATACAATATATTTTTAAAAATTGAATAAAACAATCTGAAATTGAAGAAGAGAATCATAAATTTTGATTGTTAGATCGACAAAGACAGGTGAATAAAAGATCTTTATAAGCAAAACTAATTATTCGACTGTAAATGTAACACATCACTAAATTAATGATTTTATTAGATTCTTCCTTTATAATATTGAAAAAAAAACAAAGTCGAATAATAAAATAATAATTTAACTTCAAATTATCATCGAAATATTAAAAATCACTCTAATCTAAATTAGTAAAAGAGTTTTGATTTATTCTCCAATTGTGTGCAAAATTTTAATTAATTTTGAAAAATAAAAAAAATTACTAACATTTACAACAATATTTCGAATCTCATACATAAAAAATCCTCCAAAATTAACTAAAAAATTAAATTTAAAAATGCCAAAGTATTATTCATATCGTTGAAATTAAAAGCATAATATAAAGAATATAATTCTTGCAAGATATTTTTATTTTAAATGTAATGTTTTCAAGCAAGATTAACTTGCCTTTCGTCAAGAAAAAAGTTTCTCATAATTATTAATCAAAATATAACTCTCTCAAAGGATCACAGAAGTACTTTCCAGTGATGGAATATTAAACACCAGCAATAACAAAATTCCAGACGTAACATCTTAATTAATTCTTTGTTAATTAGAAGAGAACAGACTGTTTTACTACGTTAATTAATTTTAAACCACAATTTTAAGTAGAGAAAATTATGTAGTAAAAGCAAACCAGAGTTACAATAAATAAAGTTTTATATATAGTATTTACGGCCGTTTTTTAATTATTTTTTTGCTCATTATTCTTGAGTAAAATTCAGAGCTTCAGAATTTAGAAATTTGTCAACTGATGAGTCAATATTGCTTAGGAATATATAAATTAGAATTTGTTTATATGGCATATGCATTTAAAACCACCAACAAAATAACAAAAGTACATAGTGCTTTAATATATACTTTTGAGTTTTATAAGATTCAATTTCAATTCTCCAACGTGCTTTTTTTTCTCCCCAAATATAATCTGTATTAATAAATCCATCTTAAGTAGCAATAAGCAACAATGATAATGATTTATTTCAAACGCAGTTACAAACACAATAAATTCTATTGTAAATGCAGCTATTACCTTAATGGAATTCAATTCGGAGTAATATCAGAAAATATGCTTTAAAAAATCTTAAATAATAATAAAAATGTTGAAATATTTTAAAAATAAAAAAAGGTAAACTGGTAGGCACACGAATCGTTTTAAATTACAACATAGATGTTAATAAATAAATTAGGTAAAAACGCTCCAACAATTTTTGCTTTCAATACCGATTTGCTGTAAAAATCAATAATTTTCAATATATAATATATATAACCAAGCCAATACTACATTATTTAAAATCAGGATATTAATATTTGTAATCAAGACAATACAGTGTATTGTCGAGACAGATTAAAATTAAAGATTTTCCTGGAGAGTTTAACACCACAGTAGAAACAAAGCAGCTACACAAGAGATATCTGGATGCTGAGAGACATCGAAAGTCTTAAGAAAATCCAGGAACAATGTGTAATTAGGAAATCATTCCCAATCTTTACAAGTGCTGAACTCAGTGAATCATACCCATTAAAAAATGACGAAAATGAAAATAGCATCATATCGATTTAAGACAGTCCAAAAGAGATTTGTTCAGAAATTTTCTAGCTTTAAAAACATTTTAAGAAGAATGTTTGGATTAGTTAAACGATTTCTTGATTGATAATTTACCGGTTCTCCATGAGTAAATGTAAAAATCGTGATTTCCTTTATCATCTTCGATCGATTTAATAGAAAATTTGATGGATTCGAAAGTCACTTCACAATTTTAGAACAGGAATTATTTA